GTAAGAAAAGAAGCAAGAAGTTAGATATTATGTAGGATGAAAACGTTGGCACAATATATTTTTAGAAATTTTGATCTAAGGTGTTCCTAGGAGCAATCTGTTATTTTTTGTGCTGAAAATATATTGGAAATTCAATAGCAGATTGAAAGTATGATGCAAGTATTAGTCTAACAGTATTCAGAGATTCAGCATCAGAACAATTGGTTTGTTGGCAATACCTACCACTATTTTTATTTCAATAGTCTTTGAATGTGCTAACTTTATTCTTTTTGTCTTTTAGTCTGATAATGCCTTCCTGAGGACCATCCACTATGCCATAGTCTTTGGTGGAGACACGGACACCATAGCATCCATGGCTGGAAGTATTGCAGGTGAGCTTGCTATATTTAAAGAATTTGTTGTTGTGACTATGGGAAAAGTAGTAAAAAATGATTGATGCCACAAATGTGAAAGGTAATATCCCTGTCTTATATTATAATGTATAATCTGTGTGATTTCCCTCTAGGTGCATATTATGGCTTTTCGGAAATCCCTGAGAGCTTTCACAGGCACTGTGAGGCTCTGTCAGATGCCATTGAACAGGCTGATCAGCTCTTCAAGATGAGGAAGCCCAAATCAACAGAGACGTGAACATATTGTTAGTTGAAGAATTTGCATTTAGTATTACCCACTTCACAGTTTTAGAGTGACATTCAGACTGCAAGGTCGCTGTACTACCCAGGCCTATAATTGATGGAAGATGACTAGCAAACAGGTCATTTCCCATGTAGATTGAAGAATGGGGCTATCAGTTGGATAGTGTGTGGGAATAAATGGTACTTCTTATCATAGGATGTGTATGCAGACAATGACTAAGTAGTAACATGTTTTTGTTTATTCTCTTTTTGAGAAAATCAAATTACGAAAGATATGCTTTCAAGATTTTTATGTATATATAAGTGATAACTTTAGTGCAGTGATGTCTCTTATTCATTTTTACGTTAGCAATACGGCATATGTATTTTAATGTTATACTGTTATTATGACTAAGAGATTGTAATTTCCAGGAAATGAATGTGTGGATTTTATATTTGATATACCTTAATTTTGGGATATACATGAATTGAGATTCATTGAGTTCCTTTGTGGCATATGACTGAATTAAAAGCCATTTAAGCTGTTTCAAAATTTCCTACATGTATGTAGTTTGCTCAAATTTTTATTGTGTGAAAATTTTCTATGTAAATATCAATTTTTCAAAATGTAATAAGGTATTTATGTAAATATATATTATATTCCATGAGCAGACTTCACTGTGACTTACATAGAAAAGGTATGAATGAATAATTAGCTTCAAGCACTTCAATGTTCTGTCTTTTTTTAGAATTACATTTAGTTTTGATGATGATGTTGCTTAGAATTATTTCAATTACATTACTTGCACTATAAAGTTATTAATTTCCATTCATACCTTTTTTACATTGCATTTCCATGTTGAATTGCTGTTCTAGAGATGTCATCAATGTCTTTGGATGAGTACAAAGGGATGGAGTTCAAAGAACATGCTAGCTCACAGCACAATTGTTTAGGACCCTTTTAGCACTTATTCTCTCCAATGCAGTGCTGTAGATTCTCTGATCCATGTAATACTCGTATGTTTTTTTAATTGTCACATATCAGGAGTATATAGATGTAAAGTTACCCAATTTTACAGGTTTAGAATATGAAAATCCCACAAATATGTGAAAGTATTTCCTGGTTTACCCACTAAATACATTCCTAGACCTGTTATGTAATGAGCTTTAATGAACTTCTATGTACCTGCTTAAGAAGAAAGATTTGTTTTATGAAAATTCTCTCTTGGGTACTTTGAGGACTACAGCACCAAATTCTACACTAGATTATAAAAATAGTAAATACAGTTCAGTGTAAAGGATACCAGGATAAATACAATGTTTTTGTGAGATGTTTTGTTTTTGGTCTAAATCTTAAAATCTTTAAATTGCAATCAGGATTTTCTTGTTGGCTTTCTTTAAATCATCCAGCTTTTTGTCTAGTCTCACTTTTATATACAATTCATTTGAACATTAGAACAGATGAAGTATTTTTGTATTCAGCTGAAATACAGAGTAGGATATATTCAGCTCAATAATTTGATACAAAACTTCAAAGCACCCTGCACTTTGAATTTTTTTGTTTGTAATGGAAAGACAATGTGAAGCGATGTACATATTTACCCAGGCATATTAAGAGAAAAAAATATTTTGGTGTAATTCTATTACCTTTGCATAATCTTATGGTTAATTCTTACATTTAAGTGAATTAACAGAGTGATTTACCCACAGTTGCCAGGGAAATGTGTTCACTATAGTATTGTTTTCTCATCTTACTTGAATTTGTGGGAAAAAACGTTTTTTAATACTGCTATTAGTATTGATGCAGTTATTCTTATTATAATTATTTGTTATTTACATTACTAACAATATAAATTATACATATTTTTAAAAATCAAGGAAAAGGGTAAATAGTTGAAACAGTTACTTGACGGCAATTAGACTTATATGAGCGGCTGTTTTGCCAGTGCATGGCTTGTAGGCCAGGCATAAGTGAATACTCGTGTCCAGTGACAAGACTCAATGTCTCCCCTTTCTGATGTTATTTTGTTTATGCATAAAAGTGTTTTCATTTTTTTCCATTTTCCAATGTCCATATTTGTCATTTTATTTGCTTTATCCAGACGGGTAATAGACTTTCGTTGCACAGACTCCGTTCCCCCCTAAAGGTAGGAAATTAAGTCAGTGAAAGAAAATTAATTGAATGCAACATGTTGTTATCTGGTTCTGTCTCTCTCTCTTTTTTTTATATTCAATTTTCTCTTACACAACCTGTGCTGCTGGTCAGGTTATGGGTGACCAGAAATACGATGCTGGGCATGGAAATGGCACCCTATCAGAGCCATTGCTCTTCCACTCATGGTTCTCAGACTACATTCTACACTCGTTTATCGATGGAAATAATGCAAAAGCCCCTTTCTAAACACCAAATGAGCTATTACCCTCCAAGAGGTCTGTGCACTTGTAGTGAGTCTTTTCCATCACCTGGCCTTCAGCTGAAAAGCTCATGACAGCAAATTTGCTGCTGGATTTTCCTCAACAGTATGTTTCATTCACCTGCCCAAGTCAGATTTTTTCATGACGTGATGGTCATGTCATCCAGATTGAAGGGGTTATTAATCTTATAGTCTCAAGGTATACACCACATAGACATTTATTCTTCTAGTTTCCTCTGGTTATGTAGCTTCTTTGAAGGAAAACTTATAACTTTGAATCAAACATGATGAAAAGTTAATATTGGATTACGTACTTATCACTTATATATACCTCTACCAGACTTGGGTGCCATTAATGGTAACTTTCAGGGATTATAAGGAAATAAAATAATTCAATATCAGCTTGTCCCAAGGCCTCTCCCACCTGTCTGGTAGTGCCTATAATTTCTGACACTTTTGGAATGTTTTTCTTACTTTCCTCTTTTTCCAGTAAAATGTGATTATTGTCAATAAGAAAATTCTTAAATTTGTGATAATAGGTTTTCTCCATCAGTAATTTAGTGTAGTTAAGGTTTGTATAAGTTTATTTATAGAAAATCTAAAAGCTGATGAAAATACTATTGATATTCAAGTCTTACATTAAAGATTGTGGTAAATAAAACAAACACATTTCAAGCAAAGTCATTATTGTGTTATCCATATGTTTCTACAGACTATAGCAACCCAAGCAGTACTGAAGCATCATCAGTCTCTCACAAGTACAAGTACAAAATAGGATTGGTTCGTACCCTTACTAAAACAGAAAGTCCTTGGAGTGCAGTGGGATGCTGTAAGTCCAATATCATGCCACATCTGCTATGGATTCTCTCTCTCTCTCTCTCTCTTCTCTCTCTCTATCGCTCTCTCTCTCACTCTTTCGATTGGATTTCATTCTCTTCTTCTTTTCATTTCTATTTATGATCATTTTTCATTATTTTACTTTATACAGATTTTATTTTGATATAGGACTGGACTGTCTGTGTTTAGTGGAAAAGCAAAGAAAAAAAATTGGTCCAAACCCTCATCACTCATCAATTTCCCAAACAACCACTGCACAAAAAATAATGATGATAATCATAATTATAATAATAATAAAAACATACAAAAAGGGTATCATATTACACCTGAAATATTAGATGTATGGATGGGGAATTCCTACCCCAATAATATGCTAAAATGACAAATCATATAAGATCTGTCATACATTTTTTTTATTGACTGGGATGAGTAACATTTTAATGAAGCACATGTAATTGGACGATGGAAAAAAGTAAGTGAAAATCAACAATGTATTTAAATCACCTGAGTTATGAGTTCTTTATTTTTAAAAAAACTTCTTGATAACTGGAATATACTTCTATTTCAAAAGGCTTTCAATATCAGCTGGAGAGATGAATGAATGCATGTATGAAGGTATGTATGTATCTTTCCATATATCTTGGCAGAAAGATTGGACAGCATCTGCAAAGCTTCCATTTTTTCCAATAACTTTATTCTGCAATTAATCCAGTTTTTTCCATAAGTGAAAAAGGGTAAATGATATAGCAGCCAGACTAACTAATAAGGTAACACACACTAACTGAATCATTATCTATCTATCTAAAAAAAAAAAAAGAAGAAAAAAAAAAAAATAGAACATAGGTATATATGCATAATGATTGAAGAAAAATATATATATATTACTGAATATTGTAAATACTGATAACAAATACAGCAAACTGAATAAAGATGTATAGCAAAAGGTGAGAAGTGGGTTTTCTTAACCAATTCTATATTCTTAAATGGTTAAATATTTCTTATGTACAACCTCATGATCAATTTTTCTGTTTAAGATTAAATTTGGACCATTTACATTGAAGAGTCAAGCAAGTCTTCAGAAACTCACAATGAATTATAAAATAATAATAATGATAAAAAAGTAAAAGGCAAATCAAAAATTCCAAGAGCTGTTTATAACAGGGGTGTCAAAAGTGTGGCTCGAAGGGGCCAGTTTTATTCTTCTTCCTTTTTTTTAACACTCACAATCAACATTTTTCAGGTACCATTATAATATAAATATGTATCTAAAATTTTCTTCTCTGTACAATTCTCTTTACTTTTTTCCAAGAAACATTTCTATTAGTTTTTTTTTTTTTTTTTTAATAATGAGAGAAGAAGAAGAAAAAAACAGTCTTTGATTTTAAGTTTCAACCGAGGTGACCCAGGAGTCACCAGGAATTTTCCACTGACCAAACCTGTGACTGTGACACCATCTACCATCACCCTTGCTTTGCCCATGTTAATAATTTACTACTATTAACAGTGATCCTTATGTTAAAATATTCAATAAAGGAGGGAAAGCAAGCTACCAACATGCAAATGTCATTATGGATGTCGTTCATACCTGAGGACTTTCAACTTTTGGCACATTGCCCTAACATTAAACAAATCTCATAACACAACCAGAATTCATAAAAGATTAGTAACATTAGGTTTATCACATCACTAGATATTTCTTAATCTTCTAGAATGACCTCAGAATGAACAATGTCCACAAGGCTTAGTTAAAAAAACAGACAAACCACAGAAAAAACAAAGGTAGTTTTTAAATGTTGTGCTAATGACACATGCAAGGATGCTATTGTCACATCCCCTTGTCGATCAAACACGGTTGGTTTCTATGCTGATAATCTAAGCGAGTAATGCTTCTTGTCTATACAATAGCAAAGATTTCAATTCAGCCATGCGTTACTGCACTCTTAAAGAGACAAAATATGTAATAAAAAATGAACAAACTGGAGAAATAACAAATATTGAAGAGTGCTTGTTTAAAATTCATGCTGAACTAAGTCTTTTCCAGCATGTGCTAAAAAAGGCAAAAACAGGAATTAATTATTAAAATACAAGCTATATAATAGCATACAACCAAGAAAATCTGTTAGTATCATTAGAATGCAGGAATTTTATACTGATGCTAAAAAATTTAGAGTTAATTCTAATAGTTAATAATGTATTTCTTTGTGTAGGGAACTGAAAAATGGAAATGTAAGGAGCATTAAGAAAGGAAACACACAACATTCATATATACAATTTCTGTACACTAAGCTGTTTTCATGAAGACCTGCTTGACAAAAGCAAAGAACAAATTAATCATGGATCAGAACATGTTTACTTGTATAATGAAAACAAAGATGGGGAACGAATTAACAAGACATACCCACACCTGGATATCATGACTAATTCGCTTAGATTATTAAAATTCCCCTCCCTGGCCTGCCCATCCCTAGTAGTGTAACATGAGCTATCCAAAGGCATTAGAATGGAACTCTCTTTTTTTCTATATCTGATAATATGCTCAGTTAGGAAACTATGTCCCTATAAGATCTGGACATATAAAGGGGTAAGTTCTACCTGATATGGTCTTAATAATGTAAAAAATTAATACCCCTACAACACTCACTGTTTGAAATGACTGATATGACAGTGTGGTTTCTTTGATAAAATTTCTTTTTGATCAACATCACCTTGAAGAAATAACTACACATCGCTATTATCTTTTCTAAAAAAGGCTTGTAACATAAAAGTTTAGTTTTACTGAGCAGGTAAAGTGAAAGTTTGGATTACACACTAATATAACAGTAAGACCTGGCTCACTGTAAGAAATAAGACATAAGCACCAAAGAAACTTGATTTTTTTAACATTCAGAGAAAAATAGGCACAAATCGAGGCTTTTTTTTATATCTCTATTCTATAAGTGTACAAAGTTTCTCTTTTCTTGTCCATCTGACCACCCCTCGCTGAAGAGCAGCTCCACTCCAAAAGCTGAAACTGCCTCTTTTGGAAGTAGATGGGGAGGCCTGACTAACAATACAAGCAGGTTTACTAGCACAACACTTACTGGCTGGAACATCTTTACAACCTCAGAACTCATTTTCTTTTTAATGCTAAAATCTATTACTGGTACTTATCCATGTAACAATGGTTAAAATATAAAATATATACGTTGTCATTTAAAAAAGCACTGCAGTCAAGACAACCAATGATATTTTCTTGCCATGTCACAATTCTAATAACATAATAGAGTAATGATAACAGACAACCATATTTTCCCCCACCTCGGGCAGAATAATCCATTATATGGTGTAAATACCATGTTCTGGCATGGTGGGATCAGCAGCATCAATTCTCACATAAGTTTTGCATGTGATGGAACAATCAAGTGAGGAAATTTCTTCCTAAGGTCACCACAACAAAAGAACAGCATTCGCTAAACTATTCTCAATAGACACATAAAATTTGACATGCCCCCTTTCCCCCCTCACAAAAATCTCAAAACAGGAGGGAACTCCCCGGAAGGAAGTGAGTTTAGCTTTAAACATTATACTGATCTGGGAAAGCCCCTTTGGCAGTACTGTCGAGAGGAGAATGTTCCACCTATGAATCACAACCTGATCGCACCAAAGTTCAAGCTCATTGAGGCACTATTTACAGACAAGTTACAATTGTCAATATACAGGTGAGATTAAAAGAATGTAGCACATGTCCCAGATCTTGCTATAATTTCTAGATGTGTAGATGCAATGTGGGAACCACAGATAGTCAGCTTTGGCAACTCTCCTACGAGACTGTTTTCATATTTACAAAATAACGCAAAATAAGGCTTATAGAAGTAGTTATGAAAGCTGGTAATCGATGATGCCTTCCCCACATTCGTGTAGATCACTGCCCAACAAAAGCACCAGAAAAAAAAAAAAAAAAAAAAAAAAAAAAAAAACTTAAGCATCAGGAAGCATACATAAATATATCAAAGGAAGGCCTACTAAAGAGTTCTAGACCTCAACTACTGGAATTACATAAAAAATAATAATAATAATAATAAAGGACTAGAAGATATGAAACTGGGAAAAGTTACAAGCACAGATAACTGGTATTCAAGGTATTTTCGTCCACTGGTCAATCGTACACAACCAATGCCCACCCAGTCGAGGAATTTTCCGGCTAGAAAAGCAGCTCTCAAGAGTTTTTGCATAGCCATCACTTCACTTAAAAATATATATATATATATATTTAGATAAAAGATCCACTAAGATTTCTCGGCTACATGGACAAAAAAAATTTTGTTTGCTAAAGGAGTGAAAAGTACAAAAATTACAATTCAGAAATTCAACCTAAACAGAAGTATTTGCTAACAATATAAAACACTACACATATTGCCTTCTTTTTTTTGTTTTTCTTTATAAATACTCTGCCTGTGGAATATATCAAAGCACCTTCCACACACTTTTATCATTCCTGTTAATCTGGTGGACTTTGGACTAAAAACTATTATCACCCAAAACCCAACTGTGAAGGTGGAGACTTGGATATCTTTTGTGATGTACATTTAAACAATTGTTTATTCTGCTACATAAGACATTGTAATTTTTTTATTCTTTTTTTTTTATATATTTTTTTAAAGTATTCCTAAAAATTTGACAATTCATCTAAAAAGCATGCAGATTGTAGAGATCAATTTGAATGACATTTACGGTTGTTGCTTTTAATCTTCATCTTTGATTGTTCTTACAGTAATACATTTATGGACAACTATTCACTGAACGTAAAAAAAAAAAAGAGGTGAATGATTGAGCCAATACAAAACCGAGTGGTTGGTATGGTTTCCCTCACAAAAGGAATCTAGTACTGTGTAAAATGACTATGAAATAAATATTATAAAGCATTAGGATCTCTTTAGAAAAGCTTGCATCGCCTCTTGAGGTCATTTCTCCTCCATTCCGGAAGGCGGTAGAAGTCCATGCGTGACATGTGGAATATCATTTCAAATTCGGCGTCTGACAGGTGGCGCTGAAAGAAAAAAATAAAGGAAGAAGCATAAGTATGAGGCAAGTTGAATGATCTAAAAGTATTGTATTTTCTGAACTTGAATTTATGCAGTTTACCAGGCTGGATTCTTTGGAATTCCTTTAGGTCTTCATTTGAAACAGGATATAATTCAAGAAACAAATAAACCTCAAAAGAATGCAATAGGTATACCCAAGAAAGAAGGAAAGAAATATAAAAAAGAAACATCAAAACGAGAAAAAAAATCCTTATAAAACAGCTGACATCAAGACCTACCTCCAGGTGGCAGCGATCCACGTCATTGGGCAGACGATAGTTGGAGACGAAAAGAAGATGTGCAGGGTATATCTTGGGGGGCTCGGAGGACATGTGGTGCATGTTGGGCAGTGATCGGCGGAGGTGGGGGGAGTAGGAGGTGTAGCCACGGAGGCCACTACTGTACGTTGTTGATGCACACAACTCGGCGTTCTGCAGAAAGAAAAGGTGAGCTTCTCAAAGGAGGGAGGAAGGGTCCAGTGATGGGCCCAAGAGGCGGGGTATGGAAAGGGATAAGTATGGCAACAGTAGAATTAGTGTTGCCACTGCCATTCTTGATCTTGACCATCACTAAAACCTCTCTATAATAAAAATCCTAACAATAATGTTATCTAAAAACTAACTCAGTCTATATTTACATCTTTTATTTGGGGAAGCTGACCTAATGGCTGCACTGGGATGACTCTACAGGTTGCTTTCATTCCACAGAGTACAAAGATTCATGATTATCAAAGACTAAGGTATGTAACTCATTATCTAATTTAATGCATACTATTTCAACTTCAAAGACTAAAAACAAATCAAAAAACTTTATTAGGCAAAGGAAAAAAGAGGCTACACAATATACTTTTACTTTACCAAATAAACTAGGGTTCCTAAAATTAAGATACTGCAAAACTTATGCTTAAAAGTAACGAACAAAACCAAACAACACTAAGCAGTGATCTCTTATCTCAAAGCATCCCCTTAGTATGTAATATCACCTCACAGGACAGCTTTAACAAGACCCACAAAAAAAAGCACAGAATTGTACAGTAGTGAAGGCAAGTGACAACTTTTGTACACGTTAAGTGTCG